CTTCTTCTTCTTCTTCTTCTTCTTCTTCTTCTTCTTCTTCTTCTTCTTCTTCTTCTTCTTCTTCTTTGGCAAACACATATTGTTTATCTTTATTTTTAAAATAAATATTAAAGGATTATATTTGAAATAATTGAAATGAGACAAAAAGATGTTTCAATTGAGAGTAATGAAAGAGGCTAGAATTAATGTGTTGGTTTCTCTCTTTACTGAAAATTTGGAATGGAAAAGGTAATAATAGAATTAAGTATGCATATATGAATGTATAATTGCTGTCATATTTGTATGCAAAGGTGATGACCCGGAAATATGTTGTCCACTAAAAAGAGATTTTTGTTTTTATGTGAAAAACTGAATAAAATTTGTTTTAAAAAAAGGAAATTTGGGTAGCTTCAGACTCCAGGAAAGATGTGCAACAGAACTAGCATTGCCAGCTTCAGCAGTACAGTAAACTCAAAAACACTACCAAGAGGAATTTAGAAGAAATGATCAGGCACTGAAGAAATTGCTGGAAACATAAAAGCTTTGAGAAACTATGAAGCATACTGTAGCACAACATTACTTGGGTGACTAGAAAGGCACATTTAGCAGCCATGCCCTTATCTTTTCTTTATTTTCTGACTCCTGCTTGTTTCAGGTGAAACTTTTTCAAAAAGTGGGTAAAACTATTTTAAACATTCATATTTGTTTCACAAACTAGCTTTTGCATATAGATACAAATAGAAGCGGGGGGGCACATGATAACAGTCTTCCAGTGCTTGAAGGGCCGCCACAAGGAAGAAGGGGGCCAACTTATTTACCAAAGCACCTGTAGGCAGGATAAGAAACAGTGGATGGCAGCTAACCAAGGAGAGAAGCAACCTAGAACTAAGGAGAAAATTCCTCACAATGAGAACAATTAACCAGTGAAACAAATGATCTTCCGAAGTCGTGGGTATCCTGTTACTGGAGGCTTTTAAGAAGAGACCTAACAGCCATTTATCAGATAGGTTCCCGCGAGAGCAGGAAGTTGGACTAGATGACCTTTCAACATTATTACTATTACATAAAAACACATTCAACAGGGAGTCTCCATTCATACTAATCCAAGCCTGGAAGGAGAACCAGACCTTTGAGACTATATGGAATGCTGAAAAAAGGCAGACTTTTTCATGGCACTATTGAAAAGAATCCAGAGTATATAATGTCTGCTGGTTCATACCAGCCAGAGAGAAGCTATAGGATACAACCAATTAGACAGTATATCAAATGAAAAAGTATATCAAATGAAAAAGAAACTGTAGGTTAATTCTTACAGTGTGCATATGCAAACACTAATGTGAATCCAAACAGTAATTTCCTTTTTTAAAAAAACCGTACCAAAACTCTATTAACCTGTTCTCCATTTCATTAAATACATGTTTCATTGATCTGTAACATTTAGGAAATTATATTTTGCACGAACGCACAATTGTGTAGACTTTTCCGCATGGTTTGGATTCAATGTCTTCTTTATATTTAATTTGTTTAATTTTAGTTTCATTTTTCATTGTCTTCCTTGTATTACTACAGCTTGCAAATCCTTTGCATTTTATGCTATCAGAGGCATATCATTAGCATAATTATTTATATTTCTTCATCCAATTTGAAACTTTCTAATACTTAATATTAAAGATAGTAAGTATAGAAATTGTTTTGGAAATCCTGTACTAAAAATTCCACATCCATCAGTAAAAAGGACTAAAATAAAAGGATCTCAGAAAGAAAAAAGATTCTTAATTAGAAGTTGGTGCAGATGAAGTTGTATTTAATTTTATAATAAAAAGATTGTGCCACTCTGACAATATTATTAACACTCTATGTCATTCATCTCTACTATTGAGCAGGAAATTGAAATGTTTTTACCAGATGATCTTCCCACTGTGGCATAGCATTAATTTCCCATAAGGATATAATCTTGATGTTAGCAGCCAAAGACTTGAGTATAAAAAAGGAACTCTGGTAGAGACAACTATTTCTTTGCTTTGGAAAGAAATGTTTGGTTTGTGTTTCCCTGAGGCTTCATATTGTGAGGCTGTTGACATACTCCTAATTTGGTTTATGAAGGGTAAAGCTATGAACAACACAACTGTAACACTTTATGAGATCATTACTAAAAGATTTTCTATGTTCCATAATTTGGACTGTGCTTGTGTGAGTGAGCTATAAAACTATTTTTTTTTAATCAGGAGTATGTGAACATATAGCCATCCAGAAGACATATAGCCAATAAATAATTCAAAGGCATCTAGCTCACCTGCAGATTTATTACATATCTACCATGTATTAAAGTCTTGTAGGATTGAAAACAATGCTCTTTGTGACATATGTTTACATACTGGCAAAATGTGACAGTGGCAAATGATATTGCCTTTAAAAATAAACCTTATTTTGTTATGCCACCACATTTGGATGAAATTGCAACCCCAAGGAGTAACTGTTTGACTTTAGTAAAGTACATCCTTAAGCTTGTGAAATTGGAGGTTGTGGTATGTGAGAAAATTCATTATTTTTCTCTCCTTTTTGTCTTTATTTCAGTTCAATATCCATTTACAGTCCCAAGGAGAATCCCAATATCTTTGATGCTGCTGCCTTCTTCCAGTCGGTGGGAAATTTTTTAGGGATCTTTGCTGGATCTTTTTCTATGGGCGCTGCCTATGCAATTGTCACTGCACTAATATCCTTTGTTACTAAACTAGTTTGGAAGATCAGATGCTGTAAAATACAGCCATTACATGTTTCACATTCAATAAGACTTTGTGTTTTAAGATTTTAGAGATGCCATAAATATAATCCTTTTAGTTCTATAGTCATTTATGTCATAAGTTGCAGGTGCAGGTGAGCTTGAATGCATATGCAAATTTATTAATCTAACCATTGGAAGTGTTAACAGATGGGAAGAATGAAAATGAAGGTAAATAGCCTTCTATAATCATCTTCCTGCTTAAGTTGTACATGATTTATTTCTTCTAATGACATTGCTTAGTCAGCGTCCACATCAGGAATTTGTACAAGCCATAGTTAAAAGACTGGATGGCTTAAAGTAACTAAAATACTTACTTAGCATCTGCAACAAGCTAGACATTTAGAGTGTATAAAACCAACACAGGTTCCTACATTTTTCTGCTTTTCAGTGAATGTTTCCTGTGGAAAAGAGTGACACATTTTGCTTTGAATTTGAGCTTTATTTGTTTGTTTTTAAATTTAGAAAAGTTTTAATGAGTAAACAAAAAAGTCTGTGTTTCTAGGAGGCACTTTTCTGTAGCAATGTAAAATAAGAGCTATTGCTATAAGAGAAAGAGGAGTTAACAATTTATAAGTAACTGATTTTTGCCTCTGTGGAGATAAAATGCTCAAAGATAGGACAGTTCTTTGAGAAATGTGAGCAAGGAACAAAGTATGTTTTCCCTTTTTATGGAGTATCGCCAGAGTAGCAATTTACAGCATTACCTAGACATCACTGTGTCATGTAAAGCTTTTGTTTATTAACAAAGGGTGGTCTTTGCTAATGCAAAAGATCTTGTTTCTGTCTTCCATTTCAATATACAGCTTCACTAGCTTCATTGCACCATAAAGACTAGTTTATTACCACTTTCCCTTTCCAGGACCACAGTCCACTTCATTAGATGCAAATGGTCTGTGATTCAGGGAAGGGAAAGCTACAGAATGATCTATGATGGTTTGCTTGTTTGCCATAAAATACTAACAGTAAAAGCCTCCCGGAAACTATATTATTTTTAAGTCCCTCAAAAATACAGTGGTTGTGCCTTTATCCTTCGTAGACAAATCATTTTAATGCCAATGCGCATGTTTTGCTGATACTTTGTCAGGCTAATACTCAGTGACATTATTGTATCTTAATATAAAGTACTTCCTTTATGCTTTGCCATATTGCCTTGGACAATCAGGATTCTAGATAATATATGCAATATACTGCACAATTAATGCCTTAATATAATGAAATGAAATTATTGTCTCTAGATAAAATGTCTCATGTAATATTTCTTCCATTGATTTACTAAAATCTTAATACACCTATTTTTGCTTTTTAATTTAACATTAAATAGGTTCCACTTCTCCTGAGCTTGAAATATTATAATCCTGGAGCTCATTCTGAGTTGATCATCCTGTTTGCCATTTGATTTTACAATAGATTTATTTCTATGACATGAAAACATTGTAAAGCAAAGTTGAACTAGATTTAGGAATCATATGAATAGAACTAAAGAAGGGAAATTAAAGTTATAGCTGTCCAAATCAGTGATGTAGTCAATTATTTCAAAGCATGAACCGTTATAAACATAGCCAGGAATATTTTCCTTAAAGTTGCATGTGAAATAAATATTCATACAAGCATAATTAATTAAATTTTTCCAGTAGACTTTCAAAAGAATAAACTTGTTGGAAATGAAATTATTTATCACTGCAAATTATTTTAGAATAGAATAGAATGAATGAGCTGGAGGGAGCTAAAATATCTCTTCTTAAAATTCAGAAGGAAATGAATAATTTTGTGACCTGGTCAAGACTACTTTTCCAAGATATGAGAAGATTTTTGTCTTAGTTTTATATAGTCAGGATTCTGAGAAAGAAAAAGACTCATACAGTATTTCCCATTGCACACATTGGATGTGTATTATAGACTGGATTATAGACGATGGATATATGAGTTGGTCTACACTATATCAAACATTCATTGCTTGATGTCTCCATCATATTAAAAGATCTAAAGCCACAGAACTTCTACAAAAGGGGCTCCAAATTATAATTTAATAGTTGTGGACACATGGGAAAATATCATAATTTAAAATTATAGTCAATTACTTAAATAGTCAGTAGAGGGGGCATGCATAAGTGCACTAATGTGCCTATCATCCATGTCATTGTATTTTTATTCTCCTATTCTTGTTCTCAGTTTTGTTTGACAAATTCCAATAAATTAAAATAAATTAAATTTAAATTAATTAGAATCTAATGGAATCTAGTTCCATACATGAACATAGGCACACATTCACTTAAGGGTATGGCATTCATGTACCATATCCACTCAAAAGCTGACTAGAGTCCTTAACACAAAATAATATTAAAGATCACGTGAAGTATTAATATCACTTTATAATACCTTGGTAAGGCCACACTTGGAATACTGCATTCAGTTTTGGTCACCACGATGTAAAAAAGATGTGGAACCCTAGAAAGAGTGCAGAGAAGAGCAACAAAGATGATTAGGGGACTGGAGACTAAAACATATGAAGAATGGTTGCAGGAACTAGGTATATCTAATTTAAGGGCGGCATGATAGCAGTGTTCCACTATCTCAAGGGCTGCCACAAAGAAGAGGGAGTCAAGCTATTCTCCAAAGCACCTGAGAGAAGGACAAGAATTAATGGGTAAAAACTAATCAAGCAACCTAGAACTAAGGAGAAATTTCCTGACAGTTAGAACAATTAATCAGTGGAACAACTTGCCTCCAGAAGTTGTGAATGCTCCAACTCTGGAAGTTTTTAAAAAGATGTTGGATAACCATTTGTCTGAAGTGGTGTAGGGTTTCCTGCCTAGGCAGCGGGTTGGACTAGAAGACCTCCAAGGTCCCTTCCAACTCTGTTATTCTATTCTATTCTATTCTATTCTAGTTCTGGTCTTAGCCTTGGGTCCAGAAATGTTTAACTGCCATCCGTAATTGTTTCAACCAGTATTATCAATTGTTAGGAATATAAGTCACCTAACAGGTATTTGGGTTAGAAATATATAAACCAAGATAAACATTTTAAAACTTTATCTTTAAGAAAGTGCAAAACTGTAATTAGGTATGGTTTTTCAAATGGCCATAAGATGGAGCCAGAAACCTGGTTTGTTTTAGTCTGAGTCTCAGAAGAGAGTGTGAGTAAGTCTCTATTTGAGTCTCAGAAGAGAGTGTGAGTAAGTCTCTATTTCCTTCTGTTGGAAAGTATTGCCATTCCTCCATTTTTCCTAATTGACTGATATTTCTGGATTTAATGTAAGTCTGATACTGAACTGTTTTTGACACTGGAATTTGTTATTGGATTATCCCTGGATTGAAAACTGACTGATTTACCTGTGAATGACTTTGGATTGCTTATTTGGACTTTGCTTAACGTTTCTGGAAGTAAAAACGTACATTTACTGTACAGTGTATCTGTGTGCTCTGTGTGTGTATTATTCAAACACTGCTCTCAAATACGTCTCCCTGTATGAGCTCATTCTCCTAACGGAGAATTACCTCAACATCAATGATTAAGAATTTCCAGTAACTTGTATAAACCCAATGAGTTGATGAAGAGAATTTATGGTAAACAGTGGCACTCTTAATTTTTACTTCACTTCATCAAAATAGTGCTGAGTTTATAAGTGTTCTTGTGATACTAGTACCTAATGTTATAAAACCAAGTAAAACAATTCTTTTTCCTTAGCATTATTTTTCCTTTAGCACTTGACAAAGTTTACTAAACTGTGTGAGTTCCCCATGTTGGAAACTGGCTTGTTTTTCCTTTTATCATGGAGTGCTTTCTTGTCTGCTGAAGCTGCTGGCCTTACAGGTAAGTATTTCATGGCATTGAAGTAATTAGGGGATTTGAAGTAATTAGGGAATTCAGTTTTCTTCTGTAATACAAAGGTATGTGTGAAATCATATAAAGATATGTATGGAATTTGTTTAGTTTGATGGAGTGTTCAACAAAAAATGGAAAATGGTTGGAAAGTTTTTAGGAGGTAAAAATTCTAGTAGAAAAAATATTAAGTAGAACTGTGTGTGTAGCTTTGTGAGAAAAATGAATATTTATCAAAAACAGCAACAATGGTTGTATGTAAAAATATATCTTTTCCTATTTTGTTATATGAATGTAAAAGCTGAGAACTGTACATCAGGAAAAACTTATAGATTAATGAAGTATTAATGAAGTATGTGATAACTAAAACATATGGTAGGGGAAGAATCAATACAGTAAAAAATGAATTACTATTGAATGAATGGGGACTGAAGGCAAAAGTGAGCAACTGTTATGAAAAAAAGGTTGTTGAGTTTATGTGATCGTACTGAGAATGTGAATGAGGATTGATTTAAATAAAACATGAAAAAAATGAATAGATCAAGAGACGGGGAATCTGAGAATCTTGGTGAGTTTCTCAAGAATAAAATGTAAGAAATTTCAAGGAAAGGGGGAATCTAGAGTCTAGAAGATGAAAGTATTAAAAGTAATGGATAATCTCTTTAAATTTCTGGAATAAATTATATGAATTGGAATAGTGAAATATCTGTAAGTCATATGAAAGAAATAGTGAAGAAATATGAAACTGATTTCTAATAAATATAGAATAAAATGTTTATAAAGTATTAAAGGCAGGATACAAATCTAATAAATAAATATGTTTTATATAATTATAAAAAAACTAATTTTACCCCTGTAATAGGATCCTTTATTGATTTCTTGGGGGTTTTTTTAGAAATGTTTGAAGATTTTTATTCAAAATCTGTCATTAAAAAAAATGAAACTACAGTTTTCTATGATAATTTTATTGCTGGACATATGGCCTCCCTAAGCATAAATTTCCATTTTTAGATCTTAAGACATAGGGTAAAACGATGCGTATATAATTGGGAGATGTCATGTTTTCACACCTAAGTGACATACTGAAGTTTCTTTGATGGGATTTAGAAACTTTTTCATATGTATGTATGTATGTATGTATGTATGTGTGTAATAAATATATATGTGTGTGTGTGTGTGTGTGTGTGTGTGTGTGTGTATTCTGAGGTTTCTGCAGGTATTTGTATGTGGATCTTTGGTTATTCGGGTTTTCTCCAGTGTATAATTGGAAGTGTCTAGGTGACGTTTCGATAAAGTCTCATTCATCATCTTCAGGCTTGTGGCTTCAGCTTTGTGCTTCTCAGAGTAATGTGAGCTTGCAGCTGCTTCTTCCTTTTAACTGCTAGTGGGGGTGTGACTTGATTGGGTGGGGGCTTGGCTATGTTCTGATTGGCTGGGGGGGTATTCTGATTGGTTGGAGGTTTGGCTGTGTTCTGATTGGTTGGGGGGTTGGCTGTGTTCTGATTGGCTGGGGGTGTGTTCTGTTCATGTGGGGGGTTGGTTGTGCTCAGGTTAGTCTTAGCTGCTGGGGGATTTGAGTTGGTGAGCTGTGATCCTGCTGTTTGGCTTCACGTTCGTGGTCGTGCCACATCTTCATGGTGGGTGTCAGTTCGCTTCATGTATGGGTCGGAGGGGTTTGAAGCGGGTAGTGATGCAGCTGCGATATGTCTTCTGGTCCGTGGTCCAGAAATTGTTTTTTCATGTTAGGAAATTGTTTAGGTCTTCTTTTCCTGGGGCCAAATCACAAATGTGTCATCGATGTATCTTAACCATAGTTTGGGTTTGTGGGTGGCATTAGCCAGGGCTCTGGATTCGAATTCTTCCACGAACAGGTTTGCAATGACAGGTGACAGTGGTAATCCCATAGGGGCTCCTTCATTTTGCTTGTATCTTTGTCCTTTGTATATGAAATATGTGTTGGTTAAGCAGTGTTCTGTTAGTTCCATTAGCTGGTTGGTATTTATTCTTGATGATTTCAAGAGTTTATTTTATCGGGACTTGAGTGAATAGTAAAAACACATTGAAACTTACAAGCAGATCTTCTTGTTCCATGTGCAGATCTTTGATAATTTCCACAAAAAAACAGATGGCACACTAGGACACAACATATACCAGAAGAAAACACACACCAACCACTACCTCAATGCCCAATCCCACCACCACCCAGCACAGATAAACTCTGTGGCCAAAACACTAATTGCTAGAACCAAACGCCTGGCAGATAAGACACACATAAAGACTGAACTATGCACCCTGACTAAAGTACTGATAGCCAACGGCTTCCACAAAAGCAAAATCACTGGCTTGATCCACAAAAACACACTGAGACATAATGGAGACCTAGAAGATGAACAGATCTATGGAACAGCTGTCCTGCCCTACATAAGAGGTACTACAGACAAAATCAGTAAGATACTACACAGGCATCACATCAAGACTGCCTTCAAAACAGACAGAAAAATAGCAGCCATCCTTAGAAACCCCAAAGATAAAATTGATCTGGAAAACCAAGGCATATACGAAGTCCCCTGTGCATCATGCCTGGCCACATACATTGGACAGACCAATAGAAGAATAAGTACCCGCCTGGATGAACACAAAAATGCAGTAAAAAGCTGGAACACACTTCCTCACTAGTCCAACACATGAAAACCACAGGTCATAGAATCAACTTCAATGGCACCAAAGCGCTAGCCACTATAGAAAACCCCATCCACAGAATTGTCAGAGAAGCCATAGAGATTGAAAAAAGACCTGAAAGCATGAATAGAAGAGATGATTCCACCAGACTGTCAATCATTTGGAAGCCTGCACTCACAAACAAAAAAATCTCCACACCACAAGCCAGGCAAATACCTGGGCACAAACAGATTCCCCCTGGTACCTCCAGCTCAAATACACCCCAACCAGGCACCCAGATGAAACCTAGCTTCCTAACAAATGATAGCTGTCCATTTACTTGGAGCCAAGCTGCACTAAAAGCCTCCAATATAGGAACACAATGTTGCCAGCCAATCAAGACACAAAAAAGCCACAAAACAGACAGAAGATATTAGAAACACCAACCAAGCAGAACACAGTAAACTCCAAGACCAATAAACACAGACCAAGACTCCCAACCAATCAGGATGAAGAAAAAACCATTCTAGCGCAGCAGTAGGCTAGCCCCAAATTTAAAATTGAAACAACTGTAAAAGTCTGACTCACAGACGAACACAATACAGAAGCCTGATGATGGCAGATGAGATTCTGCCGAAATGTTGCTACAACTTTAAAAGCACAAGTATAATAATACCATATAAAAATTTATATATAAATATATATATATTTCCTGCAAGCATTTTAAATACAATTCCGTGTTATATGTTTTAGGATTTAGTTGAACCTCTATCGTTTTCTTTCTTCCAATCATTTGTGGAGTCCAGAATAAACTATTTTTTTAATTCTTTGATGAGGAAAACCTAAACCTCAGCTAAAAATACCAATAATCATTCCAATCAATTGAATCCCATGATTATCCAACAGATTTTTCATATTATATATTTAATACATTATTTGTTCTTCTGTGGTGACAATCAATACAGCATATACAAAGCTTTCAGGAGCATCAGAAGTAGTTTCATTGCTTGATCATAAGTTGCTTTAAGTGGATCAACATCAACATCTTGGTCAAGCTGAGAAAGCTCTAGAGTATGTAATCAATATGGATCAATACGTTTAGCACTTCTTAGATTCAGAAACAAACACACATCATTCCTAAATTCTAAAAACCAGACCAGACAAGGAAAAATGGAAAAGTAAAACCAATTTCAAACCCAGATTATAAATTACCTTAAATCAATTAATGTAATTATAATTATTATGTAGTTTATAGTATAATTTTAATTTACTGCAACAGAGATTAGGTCCAAGGCATTAAAGGAATAAATGTGATCCTATGTGATCATCTTTGCAATTTTTTTTTTTAAATAGCATGGTCCCGGGTTACACTTCTTCATACAGACATAAACTCAATTTCATGCTCACTTTTATGTTCTGTTCCATATCTTATTACTGTTTTACATTTTCTACATAGTTTTTCTCCTCTCTTAATTTTCTCAATTTTATTTTAATTTTCTCATATCAATTCAAATCATTATATTTATGCTTTTGTCTGTCCTGTTTCAATTTCATATTTTCTTTTCTCATTAAACGAATTTTCTCCTGTTGTTACTAATTGGAGTATGCCACCTTTATATCTTTTAATTTTATCCATTCAAGTCTTATTTAAGCTTCAATATATACCTTGAGATTATAACATTCAATATAATACATAACTTCCAATTGAATTCTGCTTGGTACATTCTTAAAATACACACTATATTCGTAAAAAGTGATTATAAATATATGTAATTAAAACAGTCATTCAATTCCAATTCAATTCTATCATTAATATTCATTAAAGTCTTAACATCTTTAACATTACTTTTCAATTAAATATCATACTTCCTTGGGAACACTTACAAGCTTTCCGTAATTATTTTTTCCCCTATTTCTCTTCCCTTATATTTTATAAAAAATTAAATAATTAAAATGTTCCCATCCTTTCCTAATTCAATTCTCTCATTCATTTTATTTCATTTATTTATTAACAAACATTTCAATAGATTACAATAACTATTTTATCCATCATTTTAATCATACATTGTTTCATATTTTCTAAAATTATTTCTATTTCTTTCTTTTTTTTTAAATAAACTTTATTAGTTTTACTTTTTAAAAAACAACAACAACACAGCTACAAATTATATACAACAAAAAGACGAACAGGTCTTGGCATAGGCCAAGAGGGAAAGAGAGGAAAGCTTAAGAGAGGAAAGAGGGAAAGGGAGGGGAAGGGGGGGGGGAAAGTGGGGAAAACAAAAGTAGAGAAAACAATTATAATAAAACCATATTTTGTGACTGTCTGTAAG